GCACAGCTCAAGTGTCATCTCCTCCAGGAAGCTCTCCTGGTCACCTCCAGCCTGCCAGGAGCTCTGTCTAAACTGTAACTCTTAGCATCCATCAAACACTTATCAGTGGGTGCTTAGCTCTCCCTGAGGCTGGGTATTATTTTCCTTAACTAGACTGCAAACTCTCAGAAGGCAACCACTGTAGGGAAACAGCATCCTTTATTTGGCATTTATAAGTACTGTTACTAATCTTTTAATCGGCATATATTTGATCAAAACTAACTACAGCTTCCTCTAGAGATGGCACCATGCCTGGCACACTGGCATACATATCCTCAGTTCACTAAGTATCTCATCAGTTGACTGGCTGGCTACTGATGGCAGAATTTTCTAAAGGGTAGGAATAAATATAATCTGTAAATGCCACAATGGATTTCTTTCTTTCTTGGTGCATACATTATATTTCACGGGCAACATGGTGGGGTGGTGGGGAGGGGAGAAGGGAGAGAAGGAAAAATGACATTGGCTAGTACTGAATGGAAGTGGCATCATTCCTATTTTAGAGATGAGGAAACTGGGAGTAAGCACGAAGTCCAAGTTCAGGCAGCTGGTAACTATCAAAGGAAGGAGACCAAATTATCTTGTACCAAATCATATATCTAGCAAGTGGTTAATCTGGGGATTTGACCCCAGGCTTTTACAGCTCCATAGTTCATGCTCCCTGACATCACACAACAACATATTATGGGAATTGCTGGAAACATGGCCTCACACTCCAGCCCCTTGATTCCTGAAGGCTTGGTGCCGGCCACCTGCATCCTCCACAGCTGCCTGCTGAGGAAGGTAGGAAGTGGGAAGGAAAAAGGTACAGGTAGCTTTCTGGTGTTCAGAGAACAATGGATGACACCCTCTCTTTCAGATCCCAAAGCTCCTTTGCCTGGATCTTACTGCCACACAGTGCCAGGGCAAGCCAGCTATGCAAAACCAAGAGTAGATGCTCCCGAATTGCTGGCCCTGAAAAGGAATGCCCTAAGGGCATCCTGGGAAAGGTCTAGGACATACCCACCATGATCACCAACAAGGCAAATATGTGTCTTTGAGGGCTGCATCCAGAACTGTCCCTGCTTCCCTGTGCTTTTCTGCGTTTAACATTTATCTGTTCTCCTAGCCTGAAATTGCTTTTATGATCCCTAATAGAACCCTGACCGAGAGCATTAAAGGGCTCAGCACCCCCATGTCTTTCTCCTACACTGATGTGGATCAGGCACAGTGAATGGGGACAGAAGCCAGGGGTTTGCCTGGCATGGCAGAACACAGACTCATTCCTATGTCCCTAGAGATTACAGAATACCTTACATGAAGAAGGAATGACGGCAAGGAAGCTTACACAAAGGCCCAATCAGCTTGTACGATGTAGTCTGTTTATGTTCCTATGATTTGGCTAAAATCAGAGAGAAACATTGCAGTGACTGAACCCTCAGTGGAGAAGAAGAGATGTTTCCAGCCTGTGGTGTGGAGAGATGGGGTCGATGGAGCTCCCAATCATTAGACTTTGAATCAGAATCCCTTGACTTGCTTATAAAAACATGCAGGTTCTGGAGCCTTACCCCAGATATTAAAACTTGGAGATGAAGCCTAGAAACCTCCCCACTTAATAAGCTCCCCAGGAGCATCTTAATTAGCCAGTCTTCATCAAACAGCTCCTCCAAGTTGCTCCTGACTGCACAAGGCCTCAGCAGCAGAATCCTGGTTCTGAACTCATCAGCTGGAGGTATGGGAAGGGGCACCAATGTCCTCTGAGTCTCAGTGTCCTTGTTTGTGAACCAAGGACAGTGATATTCATATATGTCCCAAGATCATTGGGAGAATTCGGTGAGAAAATGTCGGTAAAATATTTAGAAATGATACTCTATTTTGCCTAAATCAGTTACTATTTTGGGGACAAAGGTGCATCTGCTGGTGATACACATGGTGTAGCCAAGGGCTGGTGCAGAGCAGTCAAAGTGTACAGCTGCCATGAGTCTCAGAGGAGCAAAGGAAACCATCTCTCCACTTGAAATTTTTAAAAAGCTTGCCTTTCACCCCCTTTCCTTCCCTCCTCCCCCATTCTGTTCTCATGGGAAGGGACCTCAAATTCCACCCACTTATGCTGCCCCCTTATCTTTTCATAGACTGACCCTCTTAGCCCCTGAGAAAACTCCAAGCTCTCCTGTGGGAGTGTCCCACCCTGCAAGGGAGCACTCTGCCAGCCCAGCAAAGAGCAAATTTATTTCTTTTCATGCTTTAAGATGTTACTGGCTGCATATTGTTTTAATGCAGCTCATAATTACAGAAACAGCTCTGAAAATCTGTATATTTTATCTGTGCTTTATTATACCCAGAATATTCTGCAATCCTTTTTCTTCTACATGAGCCAGCTTAAAATATATTTTGGCGTCCTTTATGTCATCTTGAAATTGAATAGCCAATTCTTACTGTAATGAAAATACTCACGCGCCAGCCCAGTGATATACAGCTCTACACTCTAATTACAGCTGTGCCTTAATTAACCTGAATTGAAGAGTGTTATCATTAAACTGCTGGTAACTTTGAGTTACAGCTTTTCTTTAATTTAAAGTAGAAAACACAGATAATTAAGCCTCCAGATAATCAAATGCTTGAGGAGAGCTTCAATGTTTGGGGATGTTCCTAAATCTCATTAAATGTCCTCTCTTTATTGATTATTTCTACCTCTGCTGTATCATTGTGTTCAACGAATAAGAGCACTAAGTTGAACACATTCTCCCTCACATCAGAAGTGTCTGTGGTTTCTTATATTCCAGAAGCTATACCGAACACATTATAAATTCTCTGATAACAAGGTGTGTCTGAGAGATTTTTCTCCTCCTTGAGACATGTTCTAAATATGAAAATCAAAAAGGGAAATATTTACAGCAGCCACCAGCATCCAGCTCTGGAGCCGCCTCTGAAGGGTGGTGAAGTTTCACATCACCCAAGGGTCAGAGCTGGCCAACTCACCCGACTACAGGGCCAGGCCTAGGAGGTAAATGCGAATCTGGCTTGGTGAGTACATCAGGGAGGGAAGGGCCTGCCCAAAACTCCTCCTTACAGCAAACTGCAACCAGTTAGCATTTGGTAGAAAATATAAACGAATTTCAAGACAGGCCAGAAATCTAGTTTTTATGGGAAATGTCACTTTTGGAAATACTGGCAAGTAACTCTTAAGAAATTAAATACTACATAGGGCTAATATATGAGTGAAATTCAGTATTCGGTTGTAGCTTGTAGGGGCAGCAGTCCTAACCCTCCAGGTTAACACTCTTAAAAGGAACTGACTGGGCTCCCAGCAGCAGAGAACCAGAAGCAGTGGGAAAGCAGGCTTCCAAGGGAGCCCTCGTGTTAGAAGTAAATACTGGCCAAGCCAGGGAAAATCAGTAGCCAAGAAAGGGGGCTTTGCACCCTCCCGTGCTAATGCCCCAAAACCATCAGGGCCTGCCAGGCAATGATGCTCTTCTTGTGCTCAGACCACCCCTACAGTACATATAAAGCCGTCAGTCACTTTTTTGTAGAGCCAGCTTCTAAGCCCTGAATTCTCCTTAGCTTTCCATCCCAGGCAGGCAAGCTCCAAGGTAGAGAAAATCCCCTGGGACAGCCTCAGGGATTCCAGAACCCAGTGCCTCTGAATGGTTAACTTCTTCCTGTGGCAGGAAGAGAAATGGCTCTCAAAAAAAGGAACACATGAGAGTTACCAATAGGGCATCCATTTTCAGAAACTCCATCCGAATGAATTACCTATTCACTTTTCCAGTCCATTTAACATTTAAACTTTCACTTACAGACAGGGTGAGACATTTCAGTAAACAACCAAACCATTTCGGGTTGCTTGGGGTCTGCATCCAGGGACAGACAGGGTGCACCTGCTGTGCTCACCGGCAGGAGCCTGCAGGTAAACACCAAGCCACCAGGCACTCTGTCCCCTCTCCACCCTGCGCAGAACAGAAAACTGAGACAGAGGAACCCAAGAGCCCCAGGACCATCCTCTTCGGACCTCCCTTTCCAGGAGGTGGGTCTCGTCGGTAAGTAAGCAGAGAGCACAGGGGAACAGAGTTTCTTCCTCAGCCCTATGGGTTCCCAGATCCCCTGTTTCTTCCCAGTTTTTAACCAGTGAGACTGAGTTTAATCCTTTGCTAAGGTGTTAGTGCATCAGGCATAGTGTTTCAGCATGCCTAGGGAGTTTGTGTTTTCACAGGGAACAAAGACCCTCTTTAGCTTAAACCCAACATCTGAGACTCTAGATTAAATTCAACATCAAAGGTACCATCATCGTGACTGAAGTTTCTTGGGGCCCAGGACACCTGGAGCTCCTGGGGTCATACTCCTTAGGTGGCACCTACTCCACCTCAAGGGGTCATGGCAGGCTGGGGCTGTCCCTGACTCACATCCATCCTGCTGGGCCAGTACCAGGAGAAGCTAAGCTTCTTAGTGTTGTAGCATGGAAGCTGTCCATGTCGCATTTCAAGGCCTCCTTCTGGTGCCACATTTCCTCAGCAAATTGTGAACACACTTTGAACAGTGGCTTCACTGATGTCCTGATGTCTCTATGATCTCACTTGATTGAAAAAGAGATTAAAATTCCTTTTATCAAGAGGCTAGCAAGATTTATTGTTGCCCTGGTAAAATTATAGAGACATGGGTTCATTCCACCCTTCACAACTGTGTCTACATCACTGGAGCATAATTCAAGACATTCAGGAAAACTGCAGCTGGTAATTTAGGACAAATGATGGAACCAAGCATGAAAGTCTCAGGACTGGAGGGAAAAGTAGGGCCAGCAGAAATCCCCCAGGCAGGGGCCATGTAATGATCCATCTTCCTGTTCATCACATGAGGCTGAGCGCACAGACACCCTCAGTAATTGTTGAGGGCCCCAACTGTGCTGGGCAGAGGAGGGGTGTCTCTCCTGCAAGGGGCACATTAAATATCCCTGAGAGCCAAAGAGCATATGGCTGACGGTCACTTACTCACAAACAGTAGGGAAGGACAGACCCACGAAGGCACTGGAGAGATATTCTGTGTACATTTCATTTGAGACTCCTTCCAGGTAGTATTTCTGCCATGTGTCTTCCTCAATCTAAGGAGAAGAATACAGGGAGAAGGTTTAAGATATGGCAGTAGGCTGTGAAAAGGAAGCTTGAGTCATACCATCTGGTGAACAAATGAATGCACGGTTATATGATGGTGACCTTCCTCAGCAACCAGGAACAGGACCACATCACCCACATGCTTTCCATGACCCGAAACTCATCGACTGGAAGAAAGTTCCCTCTAAAGTGCTGCTTTTTTAACCTGTATGATTTCCAATAGTGGGGAGGCATGGGCATTCACCCGTGATATTGGTAAGCAGGTAAACAGATACGACCTCTTTGGAGAGCAATTCTGCAATCGTTAAAAAAAATTTTTTTTAAGTATACAGTTTTTTACACAAAAATTCTATTTTAAGTATTCATGCAAAGAAACAAACAATATAGAAAGATATATGTATAAGAACATTCTTTCTGTTTATGAAAAATCAGAAATAACCACAAGTGGCATATTTATACAATGGAATACAGAAAAGCAACTAAAAATGATGATGAAAAGTTCATACAGAAATTATATAAGGCACATTACTAAATAGTATATGTAGTCTGACCCTATTTTTAAAAACATACCCTATAATTACTGAGTTTGTAAAGCCATAGGAAAATATAGAAGGCTTTATACCAAAATACTGACAGTTGTTAACACAGTGGTAGGTGACACTTTTTTCTCTAAAGATTCGTGTATTGTCTGAAAGCTTTTACAAAGAATGTATATAAAACAATGCGACAACACATGTACTTCTACAGTGGAAAAAAAAGTAGATTTTTCCAACCTCACCCTGAGTATCACGAGTAGAAGAATATGTAATTTCAGAGAGGTCCTATCCCAGGTTTCATTAAAATGTGTTTTTTTTTCCTAATTAATCAAGTTCAACTGGTTTTCCCAACAAATGCTCTTCATGTTAGACACTTCTGAAAGCATTTTACATTAGAACTGATCTTTAAAAATTACAAAGTGAATAACAAAAACATTGCTGAGCTCCCCTGGAGGCCTGGGGGTGTCATGAGTTCCCAAAGCAGGCAGAGGATGTGGTCTTCAGGTGTCTGTAAGCTGCTTCCTCCCATGGCACCTCCACTGGAAGTTAGATAAGGGGGAGAATGAGAGAGCTTCCCAGCCAAGAGGAAGTGGCTCTTTACAATGTCTTGTGCTGGTGTTGAATTAAAAGGCATCTTGCCTATGGCCCAATAGACGCTTAAAGTTGAAAGAGACTTGGGAACAGTGAGAAATGCACACCTACCTACTGGGTGACACTCTGTGACACAAAACCCAGGAATAATTTAGAAATAAATTGAATGCTCCCTGCTTCTATTCTATTTGTCTGCTTTGTGTCAGTCTGGGTGATTAGATTACGTGGGTTAACCTCATTAGTTCGAGCTGCTTGGAACCTACTCCCACATTAGACATTAGCTATGCGATGCTGCTGGGTATGGGCTGCATATCTACAAATTGGTCTTCCCCAGAGCAGGGTCTTTAAAAAAAAAAGCATTCAACCATTTCTACTGCTGAACAGAATGATTTTAAAAATGAACCGCAATGTGTTTCCCTAAACACAAACTTTTTAATTTCCCTGAATCATAAGCTTTCAACTTTTTTTTGTCAAATAAAAAATTTTGTGAAGAAAGCCTAGTGTGCTTTATCAAATTTGAATACAGAATATTTTGAGCATTATATTACCATAATTTATCGATAAATAGGATTGCCAATTATAAATCCTCTTTATGCACAAATAGTATTCTTGAAGTGAAAGAATTCAACTTATTCTTTAGGCAGAGGCATTCCTTTTAAAATCTGTTAGTTGTGTTGATAATTTAAGTATTACCCTTGATTTTAAAAAATAATGAATATGAACCTTTATCTCAGTTCTTCTTGATTGTTGGTGGTATAGTTTTAATAAGTTTATGTTGTGGTCAGTATTTTCATGCCCCTGTGACCTAATGGAACTACTCTTCAGAACAAATTTTATTATAGGTTAGTCATTAAACTTTTTAAATAAGTAGAAACAGATTCTTTGTATGATAGCAAAAGTACTTGGGTTTGTTTTCAACCTAGAAAAAATCTTCGTTTCACTGATTTCACTCATTCATTCAGCAAATATTTATTTAGTATATTATTTTCTTAAGACCTATTCTAGTTGCTAATTAAATCATACTCAAACTGGTATTTCTTTTTCCATATTTTTCTCTTTGCTGGAAATGCACCAGATATGTCTGGCTAAGATATATCTGAACAGATATATCTGACCTTTACTGATTTTTCCCACATTTTTTTTCCTGCAAGTTTGCCTTTGTGGGCTAATCTCAAAAGAACTGAGACATGTGCTAGGAAAAAATATACAGAACGTTCTGGAAAGTAAAATGTCTCCTTCTACATCCATATGTGGATTCTTAGGTGGCATCTACAATGTAGATATAGTAACATTGGATGGATTAAATAAACACTGAGGGGTTTAAATTCATTGTCATAACCTTTCATTTAAGATTTCCACATCTTTAACACTATCTCTGTATAGAAAAGCCAACATGTATTTGAAGTTTCTGATAAAGGTGTTCTACACATACACACACAAAATGTAAAAAGAGTTAAGAAAGGTATTTTTTTAAATATTTATTTTAGCACAATTAAATTTTTTAAAAACCCGTATGTGTAATGTAAGAACCAAAACGTCAGTAATTATAGTTAATACTGAGACCCTGTCATCTTTGAAGGCAAAATGGACAAGTTGTTGTGGAACAAGGACAGGAATGGGCTGATCACATCAGCAGAGTCCGGGACGAGCATCCGGCCTCACATGATGTTCTGGCGCTTCACACACTCAGGCAGCAGAACTTCCATCTTCATCCTGATGCCAGCGCTTAAATGATCACTTCCCATAAAGGTTTACCTTCCTAAGTCTCAGGCAAGGCCTCTTTCACTTAATTTTGAAAAAGCCAAAATGAAAGTGCACCCTTCTTTCACCATTGTCAGGAGCAATGGAATGCATTTTTAGGAAAGGGAAGACAAGTATAAATTACATTGAGTTTAAAACACATGTGCTTCAGTGGATTTCAAAGACTAGTCTGAAGAAAAGCATGTAAAATATCTCATTAATTTTTTATATTGATTACATGTTGAAATGATAATATTTTGGATATATTGGGTTAAAAATATTACTTAAAAAAATAAATAAATAATAAAACACTTGTGCTTACCACAAGTGAAAAACAACAGTGAGCAGAGATCTAGAGACGGGGGCAGTTATTGTCATCATGACTCCTCTTAAACAGATGACCAAACGGAGGACAGAGAGGTTGAGTAACCCACTGAAAGTCATGAAGCCAATTACAAACGGAATTCAGTTTCATGCTCTTGACCACCCTCCACAATACCACTTGGCAGAATTGATGGGGTCAATGCATAGGGAAGTACCTGGGGTGCAGGATTTGAGGACAGGGAGAATTTGCAGTGGATAAGCACCTAAGGGGGAAATGCCAGAACAGAAAGTCTTACAATCTAGAGTAAGACTTTGTGAGCAATAATACTGATCTTGACATGAGCTGCAAGGAGAGTTCAGGCCTCCTCTCAGAGCATGACAGCATTACTTCTGGTCTATAAAATGGAAACATCCCAGCCTACAACTTCTTGCCTAAAGTAGTAGAGGCTGTTCTCCACATTTGTGTTGTCAATGAATTTTTAACTGTAAGGTGAATACACACTTCTCAGCAGAAAAAAAAAATGAAGGAATGGGACCAAAATGACTTCAGGAAAGGTGCCAAAATTAATTGCCAGCCATTCAGCAATCAGCCAAAGACAAAGCACTCCCTGAGGCCACATCTCTCCCATGGCTGTTACATCGAAGCCCAGACGTTTAGAAGAGTGCCTAGCAAAGATGGAGCGGTGATGCACTGTGGGTCCCTGTTCATCAAATACTCACAGGATCTTCCTTGACGTAAGGGAACTGTGCCATTGGGCCAGCTCATCTATACTTCCTGTGGTCTTACTTATCTACACTTCATTCTCTAACTTTTCCCACCAGTCTAGCTCAAGCCCCCCAGGAAAATGGTTGTACGCCAGTCCATGATGCTCTAGCATCAAAGCACCTTCCAACTGGAAGCATCAGCCTCGGCCCTGGGAGAAGTAACGGCTCCCTGGTCCCAGGTTCTGCATGTGTTACTAATGGTGGCTTGGTAATGACACCTTTTACTTTTTATGTTTTCTCTGATTAGAGTGAAACTGTGTTTCTCTAATGTTACAACCCAGCAAATGTGAAGAATCAACCATCCTGGCTGGGGTATGTTACAACCACTGTGATTTCTACTCCCAGCAGAGAATCTGAATAACCATGTTGATTACTGCCAAATAATTTTGCAAAAGTCCATCCCTACCTCTGGAGTCATGTAAATAATTCCAAAGATTATCATATACCAATCCTTATTTAATTGAAAACAAGTATACTGTTTTAATGCAAATATATTTATATTATGCACATCAAAAATAATGAACTGAAAGGAAATTATAAAAACCAATGACCATTATGTTAATGGCTGCAATAAGAAGAGGTGAGTCATAAAATACACACTAACATTACCCAAAACTGGTAGTAGGAGGCTACTGTGTTAGGAAATATTTATTGCATTTGCTACTTAAAAAAAAAATCTATCCAAATTCTCAGTTAATATTCTTCCTCTAAAGGATGCAAAGTTTTAAATCATAAAACTGCTTAATAAGAACTAATTAGCTACATCTAAATGAATATTTGTACATATAAATCACATAATACATTGTCACTGTCCTATATAACATGACAGTCTAAAACAGAGTGCAGTGACATGAAATGACCCAACATGTCCCAGCTCCCATAAAAATTCCTACAAAAAAGAGAGAACCCCCACAAGAAGTACTAAGTCCTGGACTACAATAATAAGTATAGAATCAGCATTTATGAGCTTCAGGCTGATGAGTATGTGGCTGGTCACTAAACTGTGTGGGGTCATTTATCTTCATTCCTCAACA